GGAGGTCATCTTGTGCTTCCCGGGGCCCTCTTGGAGCCGTCTTGTGCCATCTTGGACGCTCCCACTACCCGCCGCTTCCCCCGTCCGGGTCGAGGTGTGTGTGTGTGTGTGTGTGTGTGTGTGTGTGTGTGTGTGTGTGTGTGTGTGTGTTGGGGGTATACCCTTCCCCGAAGGTGAAGAAGGAGGCTCGAAGAGGAAACTCTCTAGACCACCTACGCCCAGAGGGCTGGTGGGATTCGCCCTGAAAGCGCAAGTCCAAGCCACCCAGACAAGCAAACCGCCTGAGACATCCTCACAATCTGGGCGTGAACGGGAGAGTGTCATGCCTCCTGGTGGTTCCCCCTTGGGGTGCTGAAACCACCGCCTCGCTCGAGACATCCTTAGAATCTGCTGCGAAAACAAACGAGCCTGGGCACTGAAGGCAAACCGCTTGTGAGTATAAGTGCTGATTGGGTAAGTCGTAGTGAGTCTGAGTGTGAGTGAGTCCGATTGCCTCAACGTGAGTGAGTCTGAATGCGATTGACTCTGAGCGCAAGTGAATCTGAGTATGCAGCAGGAGGAGGAGGAGGAGGAGGAGGAGGAGGAGGAGGAAGAGGAGGAGGAGGATGAGGAGGATGAGTAGGAAAAGGAGGCGGAAGGAGTCGGAGGCGTCTAAGTCAGAACAATAATCCCATCTCCAGACATGGGGAACTGCAGCATAAACACACTTTCGGAGCTCCGCGCGGATATTTTGGATCGGCGTTTGGCCCCCCTGGAGGCAGTTTCCCCGGTTTCCAGGTCGTCAGAAAACGTCTCAGGATGAGAAGCCGGCCTTGAATAAACATTCTTCATGTTTTTTCACGACCCGAGGGGGTTTGGGCGTACGTCTTCTTGTTGGCGGCGGGCCCAGGGGGGGCGTGAGAGGGGGCAGGCCTCCTCAGGAAGTGCAGGGGCTTCTTCTGAGAAGTCTGTTCGACCTTTTCCGAAGTCTTTCAACATTTTCCCAGCAGGCGCGAGGGCTTCTGAGAAGCCCCGCCGCCTTCTGAGACGGCCTGCCTCCTCTCATTTCTCCCCTGGGCTCGCCGCCACTTCTTGGCTTGTCCCAGGATCGGCCCGGCCTGGATCGGTGCGGTGGTCCGCCGACGTCCCCCCCGCTCCTCGGCGCCAGGCTCCTCCGGGGGCCGCCCGACCATCCTGCAGCAGCTCTTCCAGGACTCGGGGGCACAGGCCAAGACCTCTTCGCGACTCCAGAGGATCGCGCCAGACAGCTGCCCTCCTCCCCAGGAAAGTAATTCGCACTGAAGGGGCCTGGCGCAGTTCCTCCGTTGTCGAGTGCAGTTTCCAGGTGTTCGCCCGGTGGCTGCCCGTCCCCCATAGGACGCACTGCTGCAAACAGTCGCATGAAGCAGAGGTCCAGAGCCAGACCCCCCCCCGCCCTCCCTCCCCCCCCCTTCCGCCCAATGTCGAGACGCCGACTGGGGAAACTCTCAACGTGTTGTCGTCTCGTTGCCGCTTCTGATCGCCCAGCTCCCGCCCCGTGCGTTCGTTGGGTCTTTTGGGGTGTGGCCCCGATGGCCGCCCAGAGGCCGTCGCGTGGCCGCCTCGTGGCACCCACGCTCTTCTTCTGTCCCCCGCTCTTTGTTAATTCAAGCTTCGCGCGGCCCGCTTAGCTTCGACCGGAAGAGGTGCGCTCTCGACCCGCGAATCAAAAAGGTCTGGGCTGGCGCCCAGTTGCCGCCCCGTGGTCACCTCGTGCCCGCTCCGCGGGTCGGCTGGGTCTTCCAGGCTCTTCTCCGTGGTCCGTGTGTGGGCCGCCCGTGGTCGCCTCGTTTTTTTTTTTTTTTTTTTTTTTTTTTTTTTTTTTTTTTTTTTTTTTTTTTTTTTTTTTTTTTTTTTTTTTTTTTTTTTTTTCTTCTGGGTTTAGCCCGGCTGCGCGCCCGGGGCCGCCTGGTTGCTGTGTTGTGCGCAGTCTGTTTTTTCAAAGTGTTCTCTTCAGTGTGCGCCCAGTGGTCGCCTTTTGATCGCCTCGGGCGCTTTTTTGTTTTTGTTTTAGTTTTTGTTTTTTTTGGTTTCTGGTCTTCTCAGAAAAAAAAAGACTCCATCCACCCTCGCCCTGACTCTGGGTTTATTGGTGAGTCCCGTGTTTTTGTTTGTTTCTTTCACTCAATGTTTTGTACTCTGTACAATCGTTCACACGCTATGTATGTATGTATGTGTGTATGTATATATATACACATTTGTACAAGTATACCGAACAAATATGCACATCTACGTGTGTACATGAGAGTGAAATATTATACTCCCTGGCCAAGCTGGTATCGTCCCCATCCCATCCTAGTCCAATCGTTCCATGCGGCGCAAATGCGTTGATCCAGAAGGGCGCTCCGAACGGTCAAGTCGTACCGTGAGGGCCACATGCGAGCGCCGCGTTCGCACGCCAATCTCCGTTCGAAAACATAACCATGTGTGTTCTGATCAGGAGGAGAAAAAACACACAGACACAATTAATCGTCGATTCCCC